TTGGTATAGTAGCCCTGGCAGCAGTAATATAGAAGTACCCAAGTCATTTTGGGATTAGGATGGTGACAGTGATGACCTTTAATCCAAATCTTCCATCCATTGCCGAAACACTATTGAAATGTTTTCTACAATCATTAAGAATTAGGATTTGGAGTGGCCTAGCCGATAGGGAAGTGCTCCGGTGGCCTAGTGTTTAAGGCAGTTCACATCCACCAGCTGCTCTGCAGGAGTATGGGCAAGCTCCTGCGATGCGATTTACAGCCCTTGGAAACCCTCTGAAGGGTCGACCATAAGTTAGTCATGACTGGATGGCAGAGAGTTTTTGTTGAGTCCATAAGGAGTTGCTTCTAAGCCAAAGGCCTTGCCTCTCTTCTGCTTCGAGTCTACCAGTACAAGAGAAAGATGAGCAGTCTTCTTCTATGCAATGTACAGCCCTAAAACTCAGTGAGGCATCATCTACGAGTTGGTTCATATTGACAGCAATGACATTTAGTTTTTAGTTAACCAGCAGACATTCTCATTTTGATTCAGTAGTGACTGGCCTAGGTTCAGGGGATCATAGGGTGGGTACAATCAAGCCAACAGATGAAAGACTATAACTAGTAGATTCCATAGGCACATACACATGCTAAGGAAAAAGAGGTTCCATGAAAAATTAGCCATAAGAATTCTTAAGATAATTTCCAACTCTTCACATCAACTCTGACTCATGGCAGTCATACATGACAGAGTAGAACTGTCCCCAGAAGGTTTCCAAAGCTGTAGTATTGATGGAAGCAGGCTGCCACATTTCTCTGTTCCAGAGCAGTAGTGAATTTAAATCACTAACTTTATGATGGGGGGTGTGGTGGGTTAGTGGGGAATTGCCCTGCTATCCCAAAGATACACAAATTCACCAGCTGCTCCATGCCAGAAAGATGGGCAGTCTCCTCCCATCTGATTTACTGCCTCTGGAAACCCACTGGAGGGACAGCTAATGGGTCGATTCTGACTGGATGGCACTCAACAGCGACAGTGACATCCTTTATGTTAGAGCTGTGCACTTTGCTACTGCACTACTGTGGCACGTTTTAGAGCCACATCTCCCAAAAACTTATTGCCATGGAGCCAGAATCGGCTCTCAGCTGACTCTCCAGTGTGTTTTCAGAGACGTAAACTGCAGAGACTGCCCATCTTTCTCTCACTAGATCTAGGGAATGTTAAAATGGGACATGGCATTAATTGCTTTACCTCCAAGTTGGAAGACCATCTTTTTTTCCCCCTTGCATTTATCATAATAATTTAAGGACTTTTTGAAGTTGATTCTAAAAAGTATAATATCTTTTCTCACCCAGTAATGTCTTTTTTGTTTAGTACTCTTTTTTAAAAATTTTTTATTTTAATGAAAGTTTACAGAGACTTTGGATTTCCATATATTCATTGTTACACTTTCCTCCCTGCCCACCCCTCCCCCGTAGTTCACTTTTCTCTTTGAAAAGTAAAAAAAAAAAAAAAAAATTAAAAAAATGTTTACTGTTATACAATCTACACACACACCCGGTCCACTCCACTATGCAGCTTTCATTCTGGACTCTTGTCATGACAATAATACCTAATCATATATTCCTCCTAAACAGTTCTCTCCCTCATCTGTTTTAATGCAGTATACATTATTTATCCCCTATTAATTCCCCCCCCCATGTCAGTCCCACTTTACAGCAGTGGCACTATATAGTATTTGTCCTTTTGTGACTGAGATATTTCACTCAGCATAATGTCCTCCAAAGTCACCCATTTTGTATAGTATTTCATGAGTTCCTTGTTTTTTAATGCAGCATAACCTTCCATTGTGTGAATGTACCAGAGCTTCTCTATCCATTCGTTTGTTGATGGACACTTGGGTTGTTTCCAACTCTTTGCTATTGTGAACAAAGCCGTAATAAACATGGGTGAGCATATATCTGGCAGTTCTGGTTTCTTTAGGGTGGAAGACCATCTTAAAGGCACCTCATTAAAGTATTTTACTGTGATTTAGGAGAACTGGCTCAGACAGTTCAAGTCCACTGGCCCATCTGTGAATGAAAGATTTGGCAGTTGCTTCCATAAAGATTTATGGAAATCCTGTAAGAGTTCTACTGTGTTCTGTTAAAGGTGATAGGTTTGGTATGAATTGACACTAACTCAAAGGTTGAGCTTTGGGTGACAGTAATAGCTAAGCTTGGCTGCTAACTGAAATGTGGGTAGTTCAGCCTGCTTGGGAGAAGTAGATGTGGTAGCCTGCATCTGTAAAGATTTACAGTATTGGAAACCTTATGAGACAGTTCTGCTCTGTCCAGTAGGCTCACCATCAGTCAGAATTAGACTAAGAGGTGATTGTGATGGAGAATCAGATTCAGTGGCAGTTGGTTATATTGTGATTTGACAGAACGGTATATAATTGTGAGGAAGCTGTGTTCTAACGCCTTGATCGAACGGTAGTCGGAGCCCTGGTGGCGTAATGGTAAAGTGCTCAGCTTCTGTTGAAAGGTGAACAGTTCAGATACTCTGGCTGCCCCTCGGGAGAAAGGTCTGGGGGTGTGCTTCTGCAAAGATGTACTCTTGGAATCGTGGTGGGGTGGTTCTGGAGTCCTGCATGGTCCCCAGGAGTTGAAACTGACTCAGCAGCATATGACAACAGGATAGTTACTTAAAAGTATTTCCCACTCAGCAGCAGCTCAGTGTCTGCACTCTAATCTTACAGATTGTAATAGAAAGCGCTTAGAGAGGCTCCCACAATTGTTAGAGCCAGCACCAAAGCCCCTGGACTTTATTTCTTGAAAAGCAGCTTGTTTGTTTAAAGCACAATCCTAATGAACTTTGTTGTTTAGATTCTTAACATTGATGGATATATTCCCCAACAGCAGTACATTTGTATGAGTGCAAGAGGTTGGTCACAGACACACTGATGGAAGTGACCCCTAGGCCCTGAGGAAAAGCAGTGGAAGACAACTCACGTTCTTGATTATAACTTGGAGCCCTCCAGGCTCAAGATACCACATTTGAGATGCTTGACAGCTATAATATTTGGAAAGGTTTATATCAGAAAAATCTGGTATTCTAAAGTCAATCAGCTGGAACATTTGCTCTACAGGGAGCCGTTTATCAAATGCTAAGAAGGCAAGGTGGTCCCATGCAGTGAAATTCCCAGAAGTGAGGCTCTTAATGGGTTTCATTTCAGCAGAATTGTAGTGAAAGCCTAGGCAATGCAGACAAATGCTACAGACTTGACATGTGGGGAGCAAAGTGACTCAGGATTGCATCTCTACTCTTCAACTGAGTGAAGGAATCCAAACCAGGGTTGGATGCTAAAATTGGGTGGCTAGCATATGGGTTTTTTCTGCCTTTGGATTTGATTATGGCATAGAGTACCACAATGCAGCTGGCCACTAATTTGAAAATCTCACATGAGAGTCCTTATATTCCTTTTTCGCTTAGGTAACCACATTTGCTTTCCTTTCTTTCTTTAGGCCTTTTAAAATATAGGGATAAGGTTTGTATTTGGAAAAAGGAGGTTTATTCTGTAATTCTGAAGTTCCAGTCCGGAAGCCCAGAATCACTTTCTCGTGTTTTTTCACAGCCAGAGCAGCCTCACACCTTCTCATCCAGCTCCCTATTTGTTCCATTGTTAAAGCAATTCTGTCTTTTGTTTAGAAAATCAGTTCTACGGCTTCATTTATGTATAACAAAGATATTAGCTGAAGTGGATATTAAACCAAATATTCTATAGTTGACATTTTAAATTTGATAAGCAAACATTGTCACTTTGCCATCTTCCGACACTGGAGATGGGGACATCTGCCTTTTCTCTCCTGCAGTGAAGTGGCTTTGAAAACCAAGGGAACAATTGAAGAGCCAGTCCCCCAGGGAGTGGTCATTACACATTTCCCTCATTATCAGAAAAGCTTTTGTAAACCAAAATGACATAAAGAAGTAGTTTTGATTGTTCACAGAATAAAAAAATAATCTACCAAATGATCCCAAGTAGCTTTAAACCTAAAATGACACTGGCATACCGAGTTCACCAGCTCATAGCTGTGGCACCTAAAATGACACTGGCATACCGAGTTCACCAGCTCATAGCTGTGGCAGCTTAATGGAGAGATGCCAGATGTTCTTCTCAAAGAGACTGCATGCTTGCTTCTCATTGGCACCTGGAGCTTTAAAGGCTTGCTAATGCTAGCTTTGCTTGTTGCCATTTTTGTTGTTGTTACTGAAAACAAGCATGTATTTGCTCATAGAAGCAAAATGGCATAAGGTATACTTTTGAAAAGAAATTCCTGTATTAAAATTGTTGTTGTATGCCAGTGAGTTAGAACCAATTCACAGCTTTCCCTAGAGGGAGTTTCCAGAGGCTGTAAATCACACAGCAGCCGCTCATCTTTTTCCTCTGGAGCAGCTGGTGGATTTGAGCTGCTTGCCTTTCGGTTGATAGTGCAACTCCTTACCGCTAGGCCACTGGGATATTAGCATTTGATGGCCTTAAATATTTTGAAATTTGTTAAGGTATTAATGAAAAATAAAACAAAAGTAGAAGGACTGGTGTGTAATTAATTGAAAATTAGTAAATGTCATTTAATGAAAACCGTTGATATGGTTTGGTTTGGTTTGGTTTGGTTTGGTTTGTTTTGGTTTGGGTTTTCGTGCTAAAACTCAGGAATTAGTTGATGTGTTTTATTTTTACAATTCTTTGCCTATATCTGTGCTCCTGTTCTGAAATTGATCTTCTCTGTTCAGTATGGCATGCTTTCCTGGTAAGCCCTCCATGTTTGCTGATTCTTTTCCCTTTAGCAGAGCCCATTATCATTGCCTGAAACAAGAACCAACTAAGGCTACTGGACGGCAAGTCCAGTGGAAGGACCATGGGGAAGAGGCAGCTTTATTTTTGTTTGTTTTGGTTTTTATCCCTACTGAGTCCTGGGATAAAAGCATTGGATTAATATACATCTGCTTTTATTTTTGTGTGTATGTGGAATGTTTTTCAGGGGGAACTTGAACGGCAGCTTTTGCAAGCAAATCCAATTCTGGAATCATTTGGAAATGCGAAGACTGTGAAAAATGATAACTCATCTCGTTTTGTAAGTTTGAAAGCATCAGTAACATTTTAATTCCTCAAGTTTCGAATTGAATGTTTCCTTTGATTAATCAATTTTTATTATTCTTTCTGGATTTTAAGAAGAAAGTAACAGATGTCACCTAGAACAATTCTAATAGGAAAAAAATGCAGGCCACATATGTAATCTTACATTTTAAAAGATAAAAAAATGTGAAAGTAATAATTATATTTTATTATTTGCAATTTTATATAAATTTATAACCTATATTGTAATACATTTGTTATTGTGTATATCATTAAGTCTGAACCAATCCGTAGTTGATCCTGTTGCAGATTTTCGGAGACAGGGAGTCCCACAGGTGGAAATTGCCCATCTTTCTCCTGTGGTTAAACAGCTGATGGATTCAAACCATGTACTTTTGTATTGTCAGTGTAATTCTTGACCACTAAACAACCAGAGCTCTATAAAGTGTGCAATGTAACCTGGGTTTATATTTCTTCATCCTAGGGGATAATAGAGATAATAATCATCATAATAATACTTATGTTTTAGGATTGGTATAGAGATGATGTGAGATACATGTTGAACACTTAGCACAGCCCTCAGTATTTACAATATTTGGGTGAAAGAAACATGGTATTGGCAGTTTGACACAGAGGAGAGATGAATATACATAATGTAAGGGCTTAGTTATCTGAAGTTGATGTTCGCTATAGTTAAGTGTCCTTTTTCAATCCTGCTGTTTCTTTGGGATATGAGCTTCAGAGTTCACTATCATTATTAAGTCTTTTTATAAATTATTCTCAGCTTTTCAACTATTTTAATTCATTTAGAACTTTCCTCTCTTCCTCAGTTTAAAGAGATGTAACAATTTCTTAATGGTATTATCCTAAAGGAAAGCTAGGTCAGTAGTAACATTAACTTTGACCCTCCTCACTCCAGCTTCTTAAGAATGTCATAGCAAAAAAAAAATGTCATAGCAGTGTTCTTTACCGTCACAAGAAAATGGGAATAGCCCAAATGTCCAGCCACAGATAGCCAAATGGATTGGGAAAGTGGTACATTCACACAATGGAATATTGTGCAGCACTTAGGAGCAACAATTTTAAAAAAAATACTACATGACTTGAGAGAGACTGGAGAGCATTATGCTAAGTGAACTAACTCAGTCTCATAAGGACAAATACTGCATAGACCATTATTATAAAAATAGAAAGAGAAGTAGTAAAACATGTATGGGAATCCAGGAGCTCTGGTGGCCTAATGGCAAGAAACTGCACTGCAATCCCAGAGGTGCACAGTTCGAGTCTACCAGATGATCTGCTGGAGAAGAAGGGGCAATTTCTTCCTGTACCAGTCAGATCCAGTTTGACAGTACACATGCAAAAAATAATAAAATAAAAATAAAATTAAAAAAAAACACCCAACAAACCCCAAACAACATAGCAAACATATATGGGGATCCAAGGGAAGAAGGGGTAGGAGCAATGAGGTAAGGATGGGTTGGGGCAAAATCACAGAGTTGCACAATTTGGTGGGTAGAGGGAGGGGTACAGGAAATGGGAAAGATCATTGGCGACCTGAAAAGACAAGGTAATGATGGGCATAGTCCAATGGTGGTTAATATTATAAAACATATAGAGTGTATGGGAATGATTGTATGAAGCACAATGTGGCTGAAGAATAGTGTGAAACACAATGTATGCAAATTTTGTAATCAAATCAATATAAAATAATTTTTTTTAAAAAGAATGTAACCTTACATGTATCATGATGGGAATATCAGAATGGAAAATCAGTCTGTAAACTTAAATTGCAATAAAATAGCATTCTTTAGGCTTATTTTATTTATCTATCTTATAATAATTTTATTTCTGCCTTGGATAATAATAATAATAAATAATGATGATGATAATAATAATAATAATAATTTTGCCTTAAACTAACATTTACAAGAAAGGTTATTAAACTAAATGTGGAAAACTATCGAAATACATCATTAAAATCACATGCATACAAAATAATGTTGAAGATCATTCAAAAATGTCTAGAACAGTTCAGAGATAGAGAACTGCCTAAAGATCAAGAGGCCATTGCATCAAGGGATATCATTGCTGATGTCAGATGGATCCTGGCTAAAAGTAAAGAATACCAGAAGAATGTCTATTTGTGCTTTATTGGCAATGCAAAGGCATTTGATTGTGTGGATCATAACAAGTTGTGGCTGACATTGAAAGGAATGGGAGTCCCAGACCATTTAATTGTGCTCATGTGTAACCTGGACCAGAAGACTGATAGGCAATTAGAGCAGGGAAACATGGCATAGTTTAAAATTGAAAAGGCAGGGTTATATTCTCTCTTCATACCTTTTCAGTCTATATGCTGAGCTAATTATCCAAAAAGCTGGACTGTATGAAGAGAAGTGTGGCATCAGGATTGGAGATTCATCAGTAACCTGTGTTATGCAAATGATACAATCTTGCTTGCTGAAAGTGAGGAGAACTTGGAGTACTTCTTGCAGAAGATCAAGAAATTCAGCCTTGGGTATTTTTACCACTGGACCAATAGACAAAATCATGGATAGAGAGGAGATTGACACTGTCAAAAACTTCATCTTGCTTGGAGTCACAATTAACACCCTTGGTACCAGCAGTCAGGAAATAAGGAGATGCATTGCATTGGGAAAATCTGTGATTTAGGACCTGGCCAAATTATTGAGGCGTAATGATGTCAGTTTGAGGACTGAGTTGCATTTGATATAGACTGTGGTCTTTCCAATCACTTGCTATGCATCTGAGAACTGGACAGTGACTAAGGAGGACAGAATAAGAATTGACACCTTTGAACATCTCACAGATGCCCTAGAGAATGAACAGATATGTCTCAGCGATGGTGCAGTCGGAGTGCTCTTTGGGAGCAAGAATGATGAGACTTTGCCTCACATACTTTTGACATGTTGCTCAGAGGGATTGTTCCTTGGAGAGGGACATGATGCTGGGAAGAATAGAAGGTCAGTGAAGGAGAGGAAGACCCTTAGCTAGGTGAACTGACACAATGACTGCTGCGATGGGCTTTTGTGTGTTGGGAAGTGTGAGGATGGCCAGGATAGAACAGAGTTCAGATCTTTTGTTCATAGGATCACTGTGAGTCATACTTGACTAGATGGCACCTAACAACAACAACAATAATAATATATTTAGTCACCTCATCCATAGTCATAATACAGAAGGTCCTAATTGCCAGTTACTTATGCTTATATTACCCATATCGATTCTATTCTGCTTTTCCTCTCCTTTCCATTCTGACAATTTAAAGTCTTGGTAAAAGTAAAGAAGGCCATTATAGAAGTGGGCTCAATATGAACAATATACCTTAGTGGGTGACTCTTTTGTATACTAATCTCTTTGAGACATATGTCTCTTTTTTTACACTGGAAATGTAGAATTGTGCTCTGTGTGTTGATTTTCTTTTCTAAAAGTCTCTCATGAGGTTGGCCTTGGGATTGTGGCTGGGACTGTCTACAGTCATTGAAAGGCCCGAATGTGACTGGAGAAATCCAGTCCTCACCTCTTGGGCCTCCCCCTCGGACTGCCTGACATCACAGACATCTTCCCCCAGGGTGAGTGATAGAAGACAGAACGAGGTAGAGTCATACGGTGCCTTGGAAGCTACCAGCCCTTATGCAGCATGAGTGGGCACCGTGCCAGGTATGAATGACAGACGGTCGGGATCTTTGGGATCATCCTGCAGGCTGACAGCCATAGGTCCTTGGAGAGATTTCCATCATTGACATATATAGCGTGACAGTCTGTAGTTCTCATTATTTAGAATAGTGCCTCACAATCCGAGGGCTCGCAGCAACATTTGGCACAGAATCTGGAGATATTTTTGGTTGTTAGAGCTGAGATGAGATAGTGTGCTGTTGACATGTTGTGGGTAGAGGTCAATGATGCTGCTAAACATCCCATAGTGCCCCTCCACAAAGAATCTCCTCATTCAAAATGTAGCGCTAAGGGCTAGAAATCCCACTATTCCTTTAATCTGGAGTCTGAATTGAAGTAATAATGCTTTACATTTTGTTTGCAAACATAAAGCATATAAACATAAGCAACTCTAGTGGTGTGTGATGCATATTATATGACTGAACAGTCAGCAGTTTGAACAAGCTAGCTTCTCTGCCTCAGAGAAATGAGTAGTCTTCTGCCCATGAAGATAAATAGCTTCAGAACCCTGATAGTGGGTTGCTGTCTGACCCAACTCAGCAACAGTGGATTTTTGCTATATACAAGCCTTCTTCATATTTCTTACTTGAACAGCCTGTTAAAAAAGTTGGTGGGAACTTACATTATATTCCACAAGTGGAAAGTATTTCCTAGATTGTACCTATTTTGTTTGAAGCATTCCTAAGAACTTGAGTTAGATGTTTAATCCACATTCACAGCCAATCCTAGTCAGCTCAGGGACCATCTTCCAAATAACTACTACACTGTTCAACAACCTTTCATTATACTCACTCTAATGTAGTTCACTGTGGAGACTAAGGTGCATCTGATACAGGCCGTGGCCTTTGCAATCACTTGTTATGCATTGGAGAGTTGGATAATGACTAGGGAGGATAGAAGGAGAATTGATGCCTTTGAGCTGTGGTGCTGGAGAAGCATACTGAATATGCCATGGACTGCTAAGAAAACAAACGGATTCAACCTGGAGAGGGTTAAACCAGGCTGCTCCTTGGAGGCAAGGATTCTGGGGCTTCATCTGACATACTTTGGACATGTTGTAAGGAGGGACAGGTCCTTCGAGAGGGACATCATGCTTGGGAGGTTGGAGGGGACGGTGTAGGAGGGGAAGGCCCTCTATGAGGTGGATTGATTCAGTGACTGGGGTAATCGGGATGGGTGTATCAGAGGCAGTGCGATTGGCACAGAATAGAGCAGGGTTTAGGGCTCTTGTACATAGGGTTGCTATGAGTCACAAGTGAATCGATGGTCGACGGCACATAGCAACAACAATATAGTTCA